GTGAGTTGACTATTTTATACTACTTCTGTGATATTACTACTACTTCTACTTCCTGTTTTCTTCGTCATCGTATTTTTCTTCTGTAGAAACAGCCGGTTGTTGATCACGTGACTCCCGTGATGCGAAAAAAGTGTTTCCATTGCAGTTTTGCGAAAAACACCAATTTCGATACGGCCGAAAAACCACCTCATCCTAGCGCAAAAACATTTTGTCGAAAAACGTATTTTATTTTTCGAAATTGACGTGTTTCCATTGAACAAATTTATTTTCGAAATTCTAATTTGCGCATTTTCGTGGTTAATAGAAACGCAGCTACTGTGTATGATGGATGAAAGAGGGACCTTTTTTCTTAATGTTTATTTTAATAAAAAAATCAGACAAATTTTTTGAATTTTGTCTCAGTAGTGGAAGACAGTTATAAGTTGTCTACATCCATGATTTTAAGGGAACACCGTTTTAAATAGAATATTTGCAACAAGCTACAAGAGTTAGCATGTCAGTGAAATAAACTGCTATAATTCGGACATTAGCTGTGTTTCCATAAACATTTTTTAAGCACATTTTGGTATCATATTAGAACAGGTGGACAGAAACGGCAAAATTGAAAAAAAAAAAAAACGTCCTCAATTTCTCAAAGGTTTTTGCGTTTGCTTGATGCGGTTTTTGGATTCTCTGAAAAATAGTCAAAGCGCAAAAGGGGAGATGGAATCACATTTGCTGAAGAAGTTCTGAYGTAGCAAATATTTACCTCGCATGATTGATCAGCTGTTCCTGCTGTTGACGTCTTCCCAAATATTCCCGTAATTTGAAGAGAATTACGTCTCTGGACAGCCTGTAACATCACAAATGCTAGTTGATWTGACAGAACAATTACCCAATAGCAACTGAAAGGGCTCTCTGTCCATCGAGCTGTGTAGTCCCTGCTAGTTTCTGCCTTTACTTCCTGTTTACTACAGCCGTGCGTAACATCGTCTGACGACATTGCTTAGGTTGATTCGCTACAAACCAATAGACGAAAACATGCCAAATTCACTTTTAAAAAAAAAAAAAAACATTTTTGCAACATTTTAAAAGTTTGCTTTAAATTGACATTAAAGTTGGATGGAAACAAAGTTAAC